CATCCTATTTCGGTAAGGTGATGAAGGACTGGTATTTAAATTATCCCACAATCGAAAATGTTCCACTCATTGAAAATTCCATCACAGAATGCGATTCTGGAAAATAAATTATCTTTCCTGAAATTCAAATCCAATGTCACTTATGTGAGTGTGGCGTAGTGACCAACGTGTGGAGATTTTAAACCGCACTTTTTCAAGCTGGATTCGAGTCCCGTAGAGGGTACTGATGAGGTCAAAACTGCAGTCCAGTCTGGATAAGAATAGCTTTTGATGAGCATTGCTATATGCAATTCAATGTAAATTCAGGACTTACTCATATCATCGTGGGAACATTCCAATACCAGTCCTTCATTACCTAAAGCGAAATAGGATAAATACATCTCATATATATGAGCTACTTGTAGTCTTAAAAGCCCACACATATTCGAGTAGTATGGTTCGAGTCTAGTAATTAACTTATCTTGGAGGTTACAAAGGCCTGCACGATGTCAAATAGAGAAAGGCGACATTCTGGAGTCATTTGATTAATTTCTAATTATTAAGAAGGTAGCCAAACCTACTCGGAAGGCATGGCAGGATTCCCGCACACCAGAACTCTGGCCATGCTGCTATGAGGCTGGTCTAGTTGAGGAAGCCGGTTGACAGGAAACGGTACCGGCTGACCAGTGCAGGTCTCACTTATTAGGGTGTTAATTGTCCATCGAGGTGACCCTATTGAAGCGTTTGTTCCGTTTCGTTGCTTTGACGATGGATGCGAGGGTGAAATCAAATGCAAATGACCTTTAGAAAGCGTTCGTGATTGACAAACTGACTTTTCCTCACATTCAGCAGGCCTTGATTTTGCGTCGATCTTCTGATCAAGATGGTCGTCTGTCAAGCCTTTCAGGCTGGAGACGACGAAGACATTGGAAATGCGTCGCGACAAGGGCTCCAGCCGCCAGTTGAGCAGATGGCTGAAAGGACAGGCCGCTCGACCAGGTGATGCGTTAGTCAGCTCGGGGCTTCTGGTACAAATTACCAACCTGGTGGTGGACTTTCAAATCGCAAAAATTCTCATAAACATTAACCCGCCATAAAAGTTTACTGAAAATTAATTACAATGTTATTGGTATCTAAATATTAATTATGAATAGTATCATCGTTTCTGATCTGTGGCAACAGCCACAAAGTTATTAACTATATATCTTCTACAAAGTTCTAAATGCATACCGCATTCTTCTTTTTTTTCTTCAGTCTACTTTCGTCTCAAAAAGATTCAAAGTGTAATAAAATTGCTTTTTAAATTATGTCGGCTTGTAAACTTTGAGGGCTTACATCATTAGTGTCAAGGCTACTCTTAAAATCAGAGCTTCCGACCTCTTGAACCAACAGACCTTCGAGCTGGCCACCGGGACAAAACTGCTCTGCTGGCAGCACCAAGTGGTCGTAGAGTCTGCGGAGGCATGTCTCTAAGTTCTCCTTCGGCGGTTGGGGCGACAGAGACGAGGATTGATTTTTCTGTTGTTGTTGTTGTTGTTGTCGTTGAGAGTGAGGCAAAGTATCTTTCCTGGCGCCAAAATGTTCTGTGTTACCAAGAGGCTGGAAGGCTCGCACTACACTTTCTATAGACCCATCTGAGTCAGAGTCAAGCAAATCAGTGGGCATGCAGCGAAGAGCTGGGCAGGAAGCGAGTGCAGTGCAAAGCAGATCAGAAGAAGGTAGTCTGCGGTGCTCTGATTGAATCATTGTCTCG